CCGGTCCCCGCCCCCCGCCGCCATCTTGGCAGCGCGCCGGATGTGGCGTCAGGGCGCGACGGATGTGACGCGAGGGGCGCCTCAGGGGCCCGGCGGGGGCGGCGGCTCGGCCGTGTCCCGGTCGTCCCCGTCCACCCGCCGCCTCAGGCCTCGGCCAGGCGCCGCGTGTAGCTCTGGATCGCCATCTGGAAGTGCTCCGGCGTGTTGAGGCGCGGCCGCAGCAGGATGACGAAGGCCTTCGGGAGAAAATAGCCGCCCAGGAGGGCGCCGAGGGTGCAGAGGGTGCCGAGCACCTGGACCGCCACCGCCTCCCGGCCGCGGAAAGCGCCCTGCGTGCAGAGGACGACGGCGGCGCAGGCGAGGTGCAGGAACAGGCTGCAGGTGAGGCACTTGGCCTCGTTGTAGCTGGCGGGCAGGTCCTTGCCCGCGTAGCTGAGGACGAAGCAGCAGACGCTGAGCAGCACGGTGTAGGCGATGACGGCCACCCTGCTCGCCCCTGCGCTCGAGGTGCACTCCAGCACCACCCGCTCGGCCGCCACGCCGTAATCCCAGTGTGGCACCGAGGGGCTGGTGGCCTCCGCGGCCAGGCACAGCACCGCCTGGGTCGCCGTGCCGGCGGCGATGAAGAGCACGGGCCCCCTGCGCCGCAGCCAGGCCTCATAGAGGGCCGGCCAGCGTGCGTTCAGCTTGAAGATGCAGATGATCTGGAAGGAGCGTGTCGCCACACACAAGAGGAAGACGGTGAAGCTGATGGCAAAGAGGGGGAGCTGCAGCAGGCACGCCTGCCGGGTGGGCTCCCCAAAGTAGCAGAAGAGACTGCTGCCAGCGCAGGCCAGAGAGCCCAGCATGAGGAAGCACATCTTCCCACCAGCAGACTTGACCACTGGCGTGGAGGCGTTCAGGGCAAAGAGGACGGCCAGCCCTGCCATGAGCAGCATGAGGAGGATGGTGGGGATCAGCAGTGCCCAGGAGATGGGCTCGGACCAGTTCAGAAACTCAGCGGTGCGGTTGAAGCAAGCTTCACTCCTCGCCGGAGCCCACTCCTCTACCCTGCAGGACTGGCAGCTGTAGAGGTCTGCAGAGGACAGGAGCCCGGGCAGTGACAGAGGCACCTCACACACCACGGACCCCGGTAAGATGTCTGCCGCGGCGGAGCACCCTGCCCTCGTGGACCCCCCGGGCTCTCTGCAACAGCTGCCCACTCCTTGCGTCCTGCTCCTTCCCTGTGGGTGCTTCCAAGCCTTAAGGAGCAGAGGGTCTCTTTCCCCAAAAGTACCCCCAGTGGACTTCCGAAAAGTCCATTGCTTGGGTTGAGAGGCGCGAGGCCTGCAGGAGCTCAGCTGGGTGAGCTGAGGCTCAGGGGCACGTGGGCCGCAGGTGGGAAGGGGCTCGTGCGTCCAGCAGTAGCCTGTGAAGGCCGGGACGGGTCTGCAGCAGCCCCCCTTCTGCAGGCTGGGGTATGGGACAGCAATGCTGACCAGCCATGTCTGGGGGCTCCCGCTTTTCCCTGGAGCTGGCCGTTTCCACCCACCTCAGCTCAAGTGCAGGCCAAGGCTGCCAAGTGACTAGCTGCTAGCAAGGGGTTTGTTGCTGTGGCTGGTGACGCACAGACAGGAGATTCCTGCCGCCTGTCCCAGGCGGGGGACATTTCCATATGCCAACTGCTGGTGACCACGTGGTGCAGAAGCCCCGAGTGCCACCTGGGGCACAAAGGCAACCACCGGGTCAAATTTCCCTCCCAGAGGATGCGGTGCAGGAAACGGCTGTCTGACTGTGTGGCCCCACCTGTGGGCAGCGCTCCCCGGAAAGCACCGGGCTTGGGCTTTGCATACCCACAGGTAGGCAAACGGGAGTCAGACCGACTGCGTTCAGGTCAGCTCAGAGGTTTTTACTGACCACAGGGAGGAAGAGAGAGCAGGAGGGAAGAGGCTGGGGGAACAGAGAGACAGAAACAAACAGCTGACGTGAGGGGGAGGCAGGGTGTGGGCAGGGGGTCCAAGCGGGAAGAAAAGGGAGGGAGCAGCCCCCCAGGATGTACTGACCTGATCTGTTCAGGAAAGTTCCTGATGGACAGGCCACACAGCTGAAGCAGCATCGGTGGCGGCTCTGCTGCAGCCGCTTCTCCCCTGGTTGACAGGCCTCGGAGCACACCGAGGTGGGAGCCTATCGGGAGCGTGGCAAGGGTTAGGCAAGCGAACGGAGCGGGCAGCAGGACCCCTTGCTGAGTGCCAGGCCTGGGCCTGGCAGCATTCAGGCAGCTTGCTGCCCGCTTTCAGGACAGACACTGGGCAGCAGCCAAGAGCTCGCCATGTTGTGGTTCTTACGGAGGTGGTGGGAAAATGAGAGCATTTAAAGGTAAAAGTAGGAACCTTTTTGGTTCGTGTGCCCTGCTTGTTTTTTGGAAGGATGAAAGCTGATACTCAGAGCATGGATCACCCCCCCATACTGCCTCCGTCTGCCCTCATTTTTGTCCGATTTTGGGGAAATACGCCAGAACTGGCAGCGTTGGGGATATAGCTGGCTCAGCAGTAAGCAATAAATAAGATCTGGATGCAGAACGGTACCTGGCGATCCTTTGTGTGCCACAGGATTTTGCCCTGGTCAATGCTCAGCCTGTCGGGGTTCACACGGAAAGTTCCTATCACGTTGAAAGCCCAGCTCGGGCTGCTCCAGTCCCAGGTGACGATATCGTAGCCTTTACAAATGTCCCCGTTGGCATCAAAAGAGATGCGGCTTTTGTACAGGGTGAAGTTTACTTGCTTGATTTTTTGTAAGAGCTGTAAAACAGGAGAGTAAGAGAAGAGTCCTTCCCGATGACGAGCCTCCCGCTGAGGAGTGCCTTGTGTCAGGAGAGAGATGTGCTAGAGGGCCCCTCCTCTGCTCTGGCTCCTCTTTCCAACCACCCAACAGCTAGCTTATGCCCAGCTGCAGAAAATCCCTTCCAGGTTTCTGCGAGGGGCTGGCAGTAGAGGAACAGAAGTGATCTAGGGCAGGGGTCTGGGTCTGGGTCCAGGCTGCTTTGACCGTGACCGGTGGCTGAAGCCCATAAGGCTCTTCAGCTGGGACATGAGCCTTTCAGAGGGACAGAAAACCCTTGGGTACAAGGGGAAGATCCTTCCCTGTGAGGAAGGATCCTCATGGATCCTCTTCCACAAGGAAGATCCTTCCTCCTGTTGCTCTTACCTGCCAGGGGTAGACTTTGCCTTTGCTGCATGCCCCTGAGGCACAGCCCAGCAGGTCATGGAGGCCATGGGCCACGGCATACACGGCTGAGTACACGCTGAAGGAGGCTTGAGCATCATACGTGTTGGGGGCAGTGGCGAGCAAGTGGCAGCCGGTGCAGCGCTGCGTGCAATACAGCTGGGCACTCCCTCCATCTCCCCTGCCTGCCTCTGGGCTGCCAGCATGCTCAGCTGCAGCGCTTTTCTCTGCCATCTTCCAAGATTCAAAGCGGTCCAGCATCGGGGACTCCGTGTTCTCAACCGACATCCCAATCACTGAGCCGATAGTCTGGATGCCAGGCACCTGCCAGATTGTTTGGGCTAATGACCAGTCTTCAGAGCCTACCCATACCATGCCCGTGACGTTCCTCTGGACCACCACTTCAAAGAAAGGGCGGGCGCTTTGTCTGTTGGCGAAGACGACGGTGACGTTGACCCTGGTGTCCGTGAGAATTCTGACCAGGTTATGGAGCTCCGGGCTGCTGGCGTCCTTGTTGACGGGGATGATGCCTTGGTAGGCAACGCACACGTCACTTGTGGTCAACAGCTTGTGGAGGGCGTGCAAGCCGTCCCTACCGTAGGCATTGTCGCTGCCCAGCAGCGCGACCCAAGTCCACCCAAACTGCTGCAGCAGCAGGAAGATGGCCTTCACTTGCTGCCTGTCACTGGGAATGGTGCGCAGGAACGAGGGGTAGAACCGCTTCAGGCTCAGCGTCGCCAAGGAGGCTTCGTAGCTAATCTGCAAAAGGACCCAGGAGAAAGGGGGTTGTGCTCCCCCAGGCAGCAGCACCCTAAGAGCTAACGGCACAGGCAGCCTGTCTCCTGAAGAGACTTGGGGCTGGGCATGCAGCGGAGCTGGAGCCGAATGTGCTGCCACAAGAGAAACCTCTGAAGGACGGCGAGCCAGCCACAATGCCTGCCAGCTGCCAGCGCCTGGGAAGAGACCCGGGCCAACGCGCGCACGGGGGCGGGGTTGCGTTTCCAGCTCAGCCTGGCTCTACAGCTCCAAGCCCACCCTCCCTCAAACCACTGCTCCTCGGGGTCCCTTTTCTTCATCTGCTGGGGGAGCCGCGCTTACCTCCGGTACGAGGAAGATGCCAAGGATGGCCGCTGTGGTGACAGCCAGGCGGGTGCTGTCAGGCCCGATGATGGCCACCACCTCGGGCTCGTAGTGGCGGAAGGTGGGGAGCACCTCGACCTCCCGCCCGCCTTTCCGGGCGAGGGCGCGCAGCGTGGCGTGGAGGCTGGCGGGCTCCGAGCAGGTGTCGTGGATGTCGTAGCCCAAGGTGACGTTGGGGAGGAGGGTGCTGGAATTGTTTATCTCCTCCACGGCGAAGCGCATGGCCTGGGACAGGCAGTAGCCGTGGCTCTTGAAGGCAGCGGTGCTGCGTGAACGCAAGAGTGGTTTTTAGGGAGGGAAAAAAACGCATTTGGGGGGAGGGGGGGACACACCAGAGGGGCGCGGGGGACTCACGTGTCGCAGCCGTCCACCAGCGGCCGGGCAGCGGCCCGCGGCGCCGAGTTGTGCATCTGGAAGAGGCCGGCCAGGCGGTAGTCGCCGCGGCTGGTGAAGGAGGAGGCGGCGGCGGCCGCGGCCGCGCAGAGGCAGAGCAGGGCGGGCAGCGGCATGGTGGGGCGGCGCCGGGTGGCGGG